TTTTTTTTTTTTTTTTTTTTTTTTTTTTTTTTTTTAATTGTGGTCCGATGGACCACGGATCAGATATTAAACTGATCAGAACAGATACTACACTTGATCTTAGCCAATAGGCCGAGAAAGGTATATTATGACGACCTTTTTTTTGTTTTTCGTAGAAAAAAAGTTCAAAAACAGTTCAATTAATTCAATATATTGAAAAGAAGTTCGAGGCCAGGACCTCACAATACGACCCCTGGAGTTATCCTGGGAGCGCATTACCCAGTTTAGCTTACGAGCCCTTACTTGCCTCAGAACCTCCTCTTGCCTATCCATCTCAGCAGCCATCTATGCTCCCTATTTCTAGCCTTCTGTGCCCCTCTCAGCCGCTACAGCTGCCTGATAATCTTGGTATCCGTGTTCAGGATACTCCCGAGTGTTGTCTCTTGGTCTCCTCTCATCCCTTTCTGGTCCTCCTCTTCTTCTTCTTCTCCTTAGTCTCTCCCTCCTTTTCTTTCTTTCTTTCTTTCTTTCTTTCTTTCTTTCTTTCTTTCTTTTTCAACTCTGTTCCACTTCTCTGCTTCTCCTCCTCTCTCCCTCCCTCCCTCCCTCCCTCCCTCCCTCTTCTTTCCCTCTTTCCTCTCTCCCTTTCTCGTGCTTTTTATGTTATGCTGCTCTGAAGATTGGATGCTTCATGCGGTAGGAACGTTTCGAATTCTCGTGCACCAATTTTACTTCCTTCAGCTTCTCAGCAGAGACAATGGATCTTCTGGTCCCAGTGACACTACGAGTGTAGCCATCACATTCTCCCCTTTGATCTTATTGTCACTCTTCCCAGGGGGATCTGCTCCATTATCGTGCAATGACCCGCAGAGTTGCAGTCTGGAAAATCTGCACTTTTCTGAGAAACTTGTCTTTTTTTTTAAATCTGAATGCTGTGAATTCCGTGTCTGAATCTGTTAAATGTGTTTTCTGAGTACGTGTGCGACCTGCCGATGACGTACAGTGTACACACGTGCAGAATGCGACAGCGTTAGCAACCTTGCTGGATTCGGAGGTTCTCACACAGGATGAGGATGAGTTCCTAACGCGCCTAACACTGCTGGAGGAGGAGATGGAGAGCAGCACTATGTCCTAAACACAAACAACAGAAACTAAGAGAAGAAAAGAACTGGTAAAACATGAAAGCAACAAGGGGGGATCTAGTGATCCAATCCTGGAATGTGAGAGGACTTGCAACTATTCTGTCGAATCCAGAAAAGTGGCATTGCTTCCTCAACACAACAGGTTGGAATGGGCCCAACCCTCCGGACATAGTCTGCCTCCAGGAGACGCACCTAACCAACTCAGCAATACATGAAGAAATAGAAAATGAAATCATGAAAAGAGTAAGAAATTGTGCACTAACAGTAACAACTCATAGCCCACAACCAGCGTCGGCAGGAATCATCACACTAGTGCACAAGAACGCAATAGAAGCACAACACGTACAAATCAAATCATCCACAGCAGACCGAGTAGGAGGTAGGTGGGCCATAGTAGAACTAACCCACAAAGGGGAAGACATCATAGTAGCGAATGTATACGCCCCAAATACAGTGACAGAGAGAATTGGGTTCATCGAAGAACTAGGGGGGTTAACACCAGCACAGGCACACACGATTCTTGTGGGAGACTGGAACACGACACAAAACCCACAATTAGGCAGAATTTCGTGGGCAGAAGGAAATCAACAGGACCCAGCAGGGGTGACTTTAGCACAATTAATAACGGAAAAAAACCTCAAAGACCCTTACAGAATGCGCAACCCAGAAAAAAAAGATTACACCTACATCAGGAAAACAAGTCAAGGGAGAACTACCTTTTCCAGAATAGATTTCTTTCTCATTTTAGAGACCTTAGAAGGAGCAGTCCTAGACTGCACAATAGGAAGATTACCACACTACGAGGGCTTCGACCACAACCCAATAAAACTAAATCTAGCACTATCAGTAGACAACGCCCCAGGTAAGAGTTTTTTTTTACTAAACACATCTCTCCTCAGCCTAGGATCCTTCAAGCAGGATTTTGAAAACAAATGGAAACGAATCAAGGAGAAAATTGGGGGGGGAGAGATCCTAAACGAATTCCCAACCGCCATACGAGAAATAACCCAGTGGGTGAGCGCTTTCTCAAGAAAAGAAGCGAGCAAAAGGAAGGCGAGACAACAAAGCCTTGAAGCAATGGTCGAAATAGCAAAGTTCAATCTAATTGCTAACCCGGGCGCAGAACTGTACGAACAACTACTAGAGGAAGCAAGAGCGGAACTTAGACAATGGGCGGAATGGAGGAGACAGGGATTAGCATTGAGAGCCAGGGTGAGAGACTGGGAAAGCAACGAGAGCATGACAAAATTCTTCTTCCAAAGGATAAAAGCAAACCACAGGAATAGTAGAATCTTAGCCTTAAAGGACTCCTTAGGCACCACACAAACTGATCAAGAAGGTCTTTTGAGAGTAGCTGCAGAATTCTACCAGAACCTTTACTCGTCTAAGACTTTCCTCGAAAACACAAATAATGTAAAGAGAGAAAGAGAAAAATTCTTAAAATACCTAGACAAAAGTCTCAACCAAGAAGCAATAGATCTTTTAGAGAAAGAAATCACCAAAACATAACTTTTTGAAGCCCTTGAAAGTATGCAACCAAACAAAACCCCAGGCAAAGACGGGCTACCAAAAGAGTTTTGGCAAATAAACTGGCATCTTCTAGGAGAAAGAGTCACGGAATTCTTCAAAGAAGCTTTCAACAAAGGTTCTCTAGGGGAAGAATGTAGCACAGGAGTGGTCACACTTTTATACAAGAAAGGAGATAGGGAAGATATAAGAAACTACAGACCCCTAACGCTGCTACCGGTAGTTTACAAAATACTAGCCAAGACCATAGCTAACAGAATAAGAAACGTCACGGATAAGTGCTTTCACATAGATCAAACAGGCTTTATACCAGGAAGATACATATTAGACAATGTAGTAAGCTTAAATGAGGCCACAAAGATTATAAAAGACAAAAAAATACAAGCAGCCATACTATTTTTTTACTTTGAGAAAGCGCACGACCAAGTAAACTGGGACTTCTTACAGCAGAGTATGGAGAAAATGGGAGTAGGACCGAATTTCAGAAAGTGGGTAAGAGTACTATATGGGGACGCCAGAGGGTTGGTACAAGTAAATGGACACCTCTCCACAGATTATAAAATGTCCAGGTCAGTCAGGCAAGGAGATCCTCTAGCAGCTCCTATCTTCCTTTTTGTAAGGGAAGCAATAGCAGCATACATGCGAAAAGATCCCTCCATAGAAAGGCTCACAGTACAGCAAGATGGAAAACAGCTCTCTATCCCAACAGTCATGCTCTTCGCAGACGACTTGACCGTTTTAATCAAGGCATCAAATTCATCCTTCCTAGCACTCACGAAAGCAATGCAAGCCTTCCAACTTGCATCAGAAATGAAGATTAACTGGAATAAGACAGTGGGCTGGTGGCTAGCCACCTCACCCCCACCACTACAAACTCAAGACACACGAGGTCTACAGTGGCTAGATGCCCAACAACCAATGCGTTTTCTTGGAATTCAAGTGTCTGCAGAAGGAACTAGCAATGAGATTGGAGCCAGTCTTCTCATCAAAATGATGAATAAAATGGCAGGCTGGCAGGAAACATATGTCTCACTAATGGGAAGAGTGCTGGTAATTAACACATCTATACTTTCTATGGGTTGGTACACGGCGTCCCTTTGGAACCCTCCAGCCAGCTTCTTCACAACGCTCAAAAGGAAAATAGAGTCGTATCTATGGACAGGGAAAACAAACAGGGA